TAATGTGAAATGAGTTATACTTTGTATAACTGCTTCAATCTTGGATGCAACCTTAAAAAGAGGTAGGAAAAAGAAAAAGAAAGGAAGAATATATCATATCCTACAAACCTAATAATCCAGTGATTAGGGTTTTTACATCAGTATAACTTTCCCTTTAAACATTTCTGATTATAACAATAAAAACATAAAAAGAAAAAGTAAATATAATTTATTATATTGGATGGAAGAGCAATAAGAAACGCAAAGTGCAAATGATAAATATGCAAACTATCTATGTTGCAAGTAAGTGTACGTAGTATTACTAAAAGATAACCTTTTTTTAAAAAAAAATTTACTAAAGATAATCTTAAAACGTATCAAAAGCAAAAATCTTCTCTTAAAGTCGTCTAAGCAAAACTTACATTTGCTTTTTGATTCTTTTAATCCAATTTCAAAAACTGAAATCAAACTCTATAAATAGAAACCCCTCGAAGTCCTTTCAACCAGCAAAACCACGAACTCTCAATCTTCAATTCTCTGTCTCTACAAGCATATTTAACAAGAAAATGGCATTTCCAGACACTCAGCAAGTTTTAGCACTTATTTTCATTTTCTTTACTTCATCTTCTTTAGCAAAAACTCACAATGTGTTAAATTATGGGGCAAAACCTGATGGAAGAACTGACTCAACCAACGCCTTTCTTGCTGCATGGAATTACGCCTGCAGCTCGAGAACGCCCACCACCATTTATGTGCCAGTAGGAAGGTTCTTGCTGCGAAACGTGGTTTTTCACGGCAAATGCAATAATGAAGCTATTCTAGTACGTATAGATGGCATTCTTGTTGCTCCATCAGATTACCATGTTATTGGACATGAAGAAAGCTGGATTTTGTTCGACAATGTTAATGGTGTTTCAATTTCTGGAGGCATTCTTGATGGACAAGGCACTGGCTTGTGGAATTGTAAGGCCACTTCCAAGAAATGCCCTACGGGAGCCACGGTATGTATAATCACTTCTTTTTTTATTTTTTTCTCTTTGATCAGCAAATAAGAATTTTTATTTAAGAATTAAATAGAAATAAACATTTGTTCGTTTAAAACTCAACTAACCAGTTACTATATCCAAGCCATCAAGTTTTTCCTAATACACCTTATCCTATTTTGGAAAATTAAGTAAAACCTGAATTCCGAATAGATAGTCTAAAATACAAGAGAAAATAGCTGCAATCTTTTTTCACGAGAGGAGAAAAGGAACTATTGATCAACAAAAAAATACAAGTATATCAGATACAGTTTTATAACCATGCCAAAAAATGTATTGTAGCTGTTACCTCTTTTTTAGCCAAGGAATCTTTTTTTTATTGTCATTAGACTTCGAACTCATATATAAAAATAAATAATTTCATGTATACATAATTTAAAAATTGAAATGTAACAATTCAATCCAACAGTGTTATTCCAATTAGTAAAGAATAGAAGCTTATATTGTTGATGTATCAAATCAAATACAAGGAAGTGTCGCCTTAATTTCAATGTGCGTTCCAACAATATATCATTATAATTAAATGAGAAAAAGTATAAGCAATATACTGAACCATATTTAATATTTTGATATCACGAGTTCATATATATATGTATATAAAAAGCGAATGACTCTTAGCCTACATGACTAAGGTGAAGTACTGATAAACAAAACGGCATGGGTTCATACTTCATGCCCAACTTCCACCGCTATTTAGTTTGACTTAGCATTGGAATTTGCATTGTAATTTATTCACATGCATGCTAAAAAATTGCATCTTATTAAATATTATTCAGAGAAAATCTTCTATTGTTTGCATTGCATGCTATTTCTAAGAATCAACCATACTTAAATTGTTATTTATAATTTTACTATTATGTCAGCTAACAGTTACTAAATTTATTTTTCGATCTAAATGCAGTCATTACGATTTATCGATTCAAGCAATATCGTGATAGAAAGATTAACATCATTAAACAGCCAAAAGTTTCATATTGTCATCCATGGCTGCCAGAATGTGAAAGTTCAAGGAGTTACAGTACATGCCTCGGGCGAAAGCCCAAACACTGATGGCATTCATGTGCAGTTGTCAAGTGCAGTCACAATTTTGAATTCTAAAATTGGAACTGGTGATGATTGCATATCAATCAGCCCTGGTTCCTCCCATTTATGGATTGAAGAGATTGCTTGTGGACCTGGCCATGGAATAAGGTACATTTATATATATGTGTATGTGTGAGAGATTTAGCATTTATATTTGCTTTTTACATTGTGCTAAGGTAAGGACTCTTTGATGTAGCATTGGAAGTCTGGGCATGGACTTTCATGAACCTGGTGTGCAAAATGTGACAGTTAAAGGAGTTGTATTCAGAGGAACTGAGAATGGAGTGAGAATAAAGTCTTGGGCAAAACCCAGTACTGGCTTTGCAAAGGACATTCTCTTCCAAAATGCTGTTATGTTAGATGTCCACAATCCAATTGTCATTGATCAAAATTATTGCCCTCACAGCAAGAATTGCCCTCGTCAGGTAATGATACTATTTCTCAGTGAAATGCTAAAAATAAAAATGAAGATGAACATATTCTGATGTCAGTACTCATTTGCTTTGGCATGTGACAGGAATCAGGAGTTACAGTTACTGATGTGTCATACCAAAACATTCGTGGAACATCAGCGACAGAAGTCGCAGTGAGATTCGATTGCAGTAAAAAGAATCCATGCACTGGGATTAGACTAGAAGGTGTAGAGCTCACTTACAAGAATGAACCAGCAGAAGCATCATGCAAAAATGCTGATGGAACTGCTTCTGGTTTCATTCAGCCAGCAAATTGTTTACAGTGAAAGGATAGATTATAGAAATCAACTATATTCTGTTGTTTAGAGTCTCATATATAATTCTTATTTGGCTGGTGACTGGTGAGAGTTATGAAAACAAGAATATCTTTTTTAGCTTGTCTAACATATTCATAACTGTTTCAGTATGAAAAAATAAAATAAAATATTGACTTTTCCCCTCAAAATCTTATGTGTAAGGTAATATATATATATACATATATATATATATATAATCCTGGCGATGCCACCATATCAGGCAGTAGAACTCAAAGTCATGGATAAGGGAAGTGCAAAAGGTGATGAGGAGAAAAACCAATTCAATTATAATTGATATGTCTTATTAAGTACTAGAGGAGCAATTGTTGGTTCGATTCCAAATTAAACCTATTGATAAAACCAAAAACTGAATTATATTTTTAAAAATCAAATCGAAATAGAACTATATATAGAATCAAATGAAACTGAATAAGTTCATCAATTTGATTTTTCAAAAAAATTAATTAGTTTATTATCTATAATAGAACCAACAAATCAAACACCCAAATTACATAAGATCAAAAATGAAACCAAATCGATTAATTCAAATAGCTACAAACTGATAAATCAAACTAGATTGATTCAATCTGATTTTCAAATTTTAACCAATACGTGCTTACATTAACTACCTCCTCCATTGTTAATTTTGGTGCATGTGGTGATCAACAGTTACATAAGCTAGCCTTATGTTTTGCCGCAAAAAATTACTTTACAAATAGAATGTCATACCCTTGTAACTTCAGTCCGTTACATCATTTATCCCTTCGATCCATTTTTGCAATTTTAGACGTTAACTTACTGTAAGATGACATCGATGAGTCTAACAGCTACAATTTGAAGCTCCATTTCTTATCACCTCCACTCCTTTCTAGTGATCCAACACTACAGATGAGTTCTAAAATTATTTGTTTCTCCCCTTGATTATATTACCTTAGCTAATTTCTATTTGATCAAGTTGTTCATGAAATGCTATTGTTAGGTTTGTATATCTGCCATTATTGCAGTAACTTCCATGTCCTGCCAACATCAGTTGATTATCAAAGGCAAAACAATTGTGCATTGAAGCTCTTTGACCTGCTAAGTAAACCCCTTTTTTTTCAATCCGTTTCTCTAATGTGAAGGAAGAGCAGAAGCTGCCATTGTTTCTTGCAAGGCCGATTCCAGCCATAGTCCGACGAAACAATCCACCAAAACTTCATTCTCGACCTCTTCTTTCTTTTCCTCCATCAGACCAGAATTTATATGGTCCATTATGCGATTTGATCACACACACACGAAGAAGAATGGTTTGCCAAAAGGTGTCATATTGGGAATAGGGGTGGCAATCTAATCTGAACTGATGCGGATACCTAAACTGATCCGAACCTAAAAAAAATAAATTTAACTCATCTGTTTAATAAACAGAGTGGGATGTATATTAAAATTTATATCCGTTATAGATTCGGATCAGTAGTGGCCAATACAAAACATGCGGCCGAATCGGATCCAAACATGCATTTAATGATGATGGGGATATGGAATTTTAAAAGTAAAACCCGACTTCCGTAATTGTCTTTTTTCTTGAGCAAGTCTAATCCAAGTCTATGTTTTTTTTTTTTTTTTTTTAATTTTTCTGGAATAAAACTCTATCCAAACCCATCCTGCTCATAATGCTTGGCGTATAGCGGGATGGATATATATTTTATCTGCAACAAGCTCTACTTTGTATAACTGCTTCAATCCTTATATACCTTAAAAAGAAAAAAGGTAAATATAACTGCTTTGTATAACTGCTTCAATCATATCCTACTAAATTAGGGTTTTATATCAGAATCACTTTTTCTTTTAAAAGATTTCCGATTATAACAATACAAAACAAGAAATGTAAATATTATTTATTATATTGGATGAAAGAGCAAAAAGAAACGCAAAGTGCAAATGATAAATATGCAAGCTATCTATGTTGCAAGTAAGTATACGTATTAGTATTACTAAAAGATAAACTAAAAACCTAACAAAACCAAAACTCTTCTCTCAAAGTCGTCTGGGCCAAACTTATATTTGCTTTTTGATTCTTTCAATCCAATTTTAAAAACATTAATCAACATCTATAAATAGAACCCTTCAAAATCCTTTCCACCATCAAAACATAAACTTTCAATCTCCAATTCTCTTTCTCTCTCTCTCTCTCTCTCTCTCTCTCTCTCACTACAAGAACAAGAAAATGGCTTTTCCAAAGACTCAGGTAGTCTTAGCACTTATTTTCATTTTCTTTACTTCATCTTCTTTCGCAATAACTCACAATGTGTTAAATTATGGAGCAAAACCTGATGGAAAAGCTGACTCAACCAAAGCCTTTCTTGCTGCATGGAATCACGCCTGCAGCTCCAGAACGCCCACCACCATTCATGTCCCAGCAGGGAGGTTCTTGCTGCGAAACGTTATTTTTCGCGGCAAATGCAACAATGATGCTATTCTAATACGTATTGATGGCATTATTGTTGCTCCATCAGATTACCATGTCATTGGACATGAAGAAAGCTGGATTTTGCTCGAAAATGTTGATGGAATTTCAGTTTCTGGTGGCGTTCTTGATGGACAAGGCACTGGCTTATGGAATTGTAAGGCCACTTACAAGAAATGTCCTAAGGGTGCCACGGTATGTACAATCGCTTTCTTTTTTCTTTTTCTCTTTTTTATTTTTTTAAAGTTTCTTTTTCTTTTTGACTTCTAATTAACTCATATATAAAAATAGAGAATTTACATGTATACATAATCTAAAAATTGAAAAGTAATAATCCAATTCAATGGGATGGTCCAATTAGTAAGGAGAAGTTTAAATAGAAACATCTCATTATAAATAAATAAAAACATACAAGCTATATATAAGTTCTCATCTAGTGATACTAATTCATATTTAATATTTTAATATCACGAGTTCAATTAAATAAGAGCTTATATGTATTCGGTGAGCTAATAGTTATTATATTTATTTTTTGATCTAAAATGCAGTCATTGCGATTTATCGATTCAAGTAATATCGTAATAGAAGGATTAACATCATTAAACAGCCAAAAGTTCCATATTGTCATCCACGGCTGCCAGAATGTGAAAGTTGAAGGAGTTAGGATATCTGCTTCGGGTGAAAGCCCAAACACTGACGGCATTCATGTGCAGTTGTCAAGTGCTGTTACAATTTTGAATTCTAAAATTGGAACTGGCGATGATTGCATATCAATTAGCCCTGGTTCTACCGATGTATGGATTGAAAACATTGCTTGTGGACCTGGCCATGGAATAAGGTACATTTATTTAAAGTAGAGTTTAGAATTACTCTTTGTCAATAATTTATAATAACACATGTCAAATAAATCAGAATTTATAATCTCTATTTCCTTATTTACAAGGTCGCTTTCAAGCGTGACTAGCCAATATTGGGGTTAAGGTTCACAAGATGACTTTTAATGGATCTAGCTAATATTAGAGTTAACGATGAAGAGATGACCTAATCTATTTATATAGAATCTTATGGATATTTCTATTACAAGTCCTTAGGATTAGGTTTAAATTTTTAACCGTCTTATCATACTGACCCATTAGAAATGTGCAAACGCATTATATATAAACACACAAATTGGGCTCCAAACATGTATTCTTAAAATGAATTATGCAGTCCATTTTTGCAAACTAAAATAGCCCATAGTTTATAACATCCCGCGTTAAAATTTCTAACAAGGTAAAGTATCCTTATTTGTAGCATTGGAAGTCTGGGCATGGATTTTCATGAACCTGGTGTGCAAAATGTGACTGTTAAAGCAGTTGTATTCCGAGGAACTCAGAATGGAGTGAGAATAAAGTCTTGGGCAAAACCCAGTACTGGCTTTGCAAAGAACATTCTCTTCCAAAATGCTGTTATGTTTGATGTCCACAATCCAATCGTCATTGATCAAAATTATTGTCCTCACAGCAAGAATTGCCCTCATCAGGTAATAATACTATTCCTCCTCAGTGCAACGCCAAAAACAAAAATGAAAAGGAAAATAATTCTGACGTCAATATTCATTTGCTTTGGGATGTGACAGGAATCAGGAGTTAAAGTTACTGATGTGGCTTACAAAAACATTCGTGGAACATCAGCAACAGAAGTTGCAGTGAGATTTGATTGCAGTAAAAAGAATCCGTGCACTGGGATTAGACTAGAAGCTGTAGAGCTCACTTACAAGAATAAACCAGCAGATGCATCATGCAGAAATGCTGATGGAACAGCTTCTGGTTGGATTCAGCCTGCAAGTTGTTTACTATATGAAATGATAGATTATATGTAACCTATAGTTGAAAGGGTCCTTGTAGCTAATTCTATTTGGCTGAGAAAAGAGGTTATAACTCATTTATGAATTAATGTTTCAGGTTGAAAAAATAAATTATTCATTTTTGTCCTAAAATCCTTATGCTTAAGATTAAAATTATATTCAGCAATGCAACACAAACTGTTCTAGCAAACGTGTAATATTTATCCCCACATTTAGCCTGTTAAATTTATGTTTCCAAATAGGGTTGCTTCAAGTGCATTTAATGACATTCCCGTTTGAATTGTCATTGGAAAAATGCCCGAGAAAAAATGGGATGGGTTCACATAGTATATTTTAAGGGGTTCACAAATTATAAATATAACAATTTAAGGAGTTCACTTTATAAATATATTACTGTCTACTTAGAAAAAATTGTATTTGCACCCCTCAATTATACGTGCCTCTGCTGCTGAGTCACATGCTTGTATTAAGTTGCAGAAGTGTTCTAATTAAGCAATACTTGCATGTCAGGACATGGAGGAAGAGAAACCAAAGTTGTAATTAAGTATCATGCACGTTGAGCAATATTTATATATTATTGACATTTGCATTGATTAGTTATACAATAATAGTATAAAAATTTCATTCACATTTTAATGCACACAGTCTGTTATATATTTTCGTTTTCAAAGAAAAGATATATCATATAATATTTTAAGAATAATTAGTTACCTATCTGTCTCTCCCTATCATTGCTTGTGGCAACTCAAAACTAATTTCGCTGTCTTTTTCATAGAATTATATAGCCAAGAGCTTGAAAAGGTCAAACCAAACTAAGTTTCAAAGGACGTCCAACACAAACAATCAAAATATTTGGAATTTTCAACAAATAATTTTATATATAACGTCCAACACAAAACAATCAAAATATTTGGAATTTTCAACAAATAATTTTATATATATATATATATATATATATATATAGCTACCGTATATATATATATATATATATATTAATACTTAATTCGGCATTTTATGTACTATTTGATTTTCAACTAAATTATTGAACAAATTATTTTCTAGATTATAATTATAGTCTTAAACTATCCAAAAAAAAATTGAAGAATCAAGACATTCATCTAGGCGTCTGAGTATATGTTATTTAATATCCACTGCTCCGCAGAGCCTACCAAGAGGATTAAGTATGAATTGTAAATAGGATAGACCAATCGTTAGTGGTATATAATTTAATTCGGCTTTATTATTTTGATTTTTCTAATAAATATTGAACAAATTATTTTTCTAGATATAATTATAGTTTAACTATCCAAAAAAAAAATTGAAGAAAAAGACATTCATCTAGCGTCTGATATATGTTATAATTCCACTGCTCCGGCAAGAGCTACCAAGAGGATAAGATGAATTGTAAATAGATAGACAATCGTTAGTGGCGGATCGTATTATTATATCATTTCCAAGATTTTTTTTTGAGAATTATATTATTTCTAATTTAATAATTATCTATATATGTACAGATATACTAACGTAGTGAACTAGAGAAACAACTCATTATCACCGTACATTTCATAATTGATGTTTAAGTACGTAATTAATAATAACATGAAAGGTAACATGTAATTGACTTGTTTTATACTAAAGCAGAACTATATATATAGATAAATTATTTGCAATTAGTGTCCATCATATCTCTAATCCCATCATTAAACAAGAAACAAATGGCTGGCAATACCTTAATACATTATTTTCTCTTCCTCTTTCTTTCGTTTTCCTTATTCCAAGCATCAAATGGGGCATACAATGTTATGAACTTTGGGGCAAAAGCAGATGGCAAAACTGATTCTACACAGGCATTTCTTAGGGCATGGTCCTCTGCATGTAGGTCAACAAGGGTAGCCACCGTTTATGTTCCTAAAGGGAATTTCTTGGTGAAACCAATAGTATTTAGCGGTCCATGCAAAAGTAAAATCTTGTTTTGGATTGATGGGAGGATTTTAGCACCAACAAATTATTGGAGTTTTGGGAGTTCTGGATTTTGGATATTGTTTTATAAGGTTAGTGGGGTTGATATCTATGGTGGCACTATTGATGCTAGGGGAGGTGGCTTTTGGGCTTGCAGGAAAGCTGGAAACGTTTGTCCTCCTGGAGCTAGGGTATGTCCTACCTTCCATGTCTCTCACACTATATATATCTCATCTAATTACTACGTACACTATTGATATAGCGCCATTGGAATCGATTGGAACTGTATTTTAAAATTTTAATATACACCAACTACTAATTGTCAATTATTAATAATAATTAATTGTTAATTGTTAATGTAAATAACTTATTACTGTAATCATTGAATTAGAATCATATATATTTGTTAATTGTTAAGTGTAAATAACTTATTACTGTAATCATTGAATAGAATCATATATATATACTATATATATATATAATATATATATATAATATTATTAATATTATATATATATGTGCTGTGTGTGTGTGTGTTGCTCAGCTTCTACAGCCACCCCCACCACCGGAGAATTGATGGATTTCTCATTTATCTTTTGTTTTCTTTGTTTATTTTGGTCCTAATACATTAACCTGGTTGCTTTAATTTCTCTTTTTAGTTTAATTGTTATTTGAATTCTTATAACTTTTAGTAGTTCTTTTCTTAATGTTTAGTTGCTCTTTTAGTTAAGACACATTCCGCACCCGTTCTATTGTATTGTTCAATACAATGTTGGTAAGGTTTCTTCTACCCTCTTACTGCTTTAGTACTGCAATAAGTTTGGGGATGTGTAAAAGGATGGAAAGTCTACCACCTAATCGGTTAGTTCTGATATTTTAGCAATGATTGACCCAATCCTTAATAAGCTAAACAATTTTGCTAATTTCTCTTTTTTTTTTTTAATGAAAAGATATCAACATCTTTGTTTATACTAAATGTATTTTTTTTTTATTAAATTGGCTTTATAGAACCATGACAATTTTTATTAAAAAAAAGTTTGGAATTTCATTATTTTAATAATTGTGACTAATTTTTTAAATTTTATCGATGGATATAATGATTTTTTTTTTTTTCTTAACCATTCTAGCATTCATCATTTTGTCATTCAATATAGAGTTATGTGATCTTTAAACTGAAAGATACTGAGTGAATTTTCCATTTAAACGATTCACTGTTCTAGCATGAAACTACGTGCTTCATGCTAGATTTAAGAAAAAAGTAGTAAAATTAAAAGCATACCAAGATTTAGCTTAGTGTTAAATACATATATAATCTGACAATAATTCCATATTCAAATCCCCTTCTCTTGATAATAAAAAAAAAAATTAAAAAATTGAAAAAAATCATTATATTATCGATATCTTTATTATACTAAATATTTTTTATTAAATTGGATTTGTATAAGTGGATAAATATAAGTTGGCAAGCATTTTCCATGTGGCTAATTAGTGTTAAACTTGACGCAAGCAGTCCATATCATTTGTGGCGTCAAGAAACATTGATGTTAAAGGATTGAGTTCAATCAACAGCCAAATGTTTCACATAGCCATTAGCCATTGCCACAACATTATGCTTCAAAACGTCAAGATTAGAGCCCCAAGTTTAAGTCCCAACACCGATGGGATCCACATGCAATCTTCTACTGGGATTACCATTACAGACAGCTCCTTTAAGACTGGAGATGATTGTATTTCTATAGGTCCAGGCTCCAACAACATTTGGATTCAACGCATTGCCTGTGGCCCTGGACATGGAATCAGGTTTTTATTGTTTCTGCCTTTTCTTTATTTTCATTTATTTAGGTTAACATGATGGGCTATATGACGGGAGGGCAATCAAAACCTCTTACTATTCATATTAATGAGAAAACCAATCAAATTACACCTGATTGATTGGCGACTCTCCCCATATCATTATAATATAAACGTTTATTATTAATTATAGGTAATAATTAGAATTGGACAGTAATTACCTTATTGCGAAGCTAACAGCTTAATGGATTTTCTAATCTTGTTTTAGTAGTGCATAGCTATTTAAATAGTAACATTACATGGATTAATTTTTTATAAAACGGTGTCTTAATCTATAAAAGCTATAGTGCACACTATGTTACCAAACAGGCTAAATCTGAGAATAACACTGCAATTTGCGATGCTCTTCAAGAATTTTGTTGCTAAACTAATAAGGAACATATAGAACGATTAGCCCAATTGCTGTTTTCTTTCTTTCTTTTTATAATTCCTGGATTTTGTTACTCATTAACCACTGTTTCTCTGCCAGTATTGGAAGTCTAGCTGCACATACCAGAGAAGGTGGTGTCCAAAACGTGACAGTAACAGGTGTCGTATTCACAGGCACTCAAAATGGAGTCAGAATCAAATCATGGGGTAGACCCAGCTCTGGATTTGCTAAAGACATTGTTTTCCAAAACATCATAATGAAAAATACCTATAATCCAATCATCATCGATCAGGAATATTGCCCAAGTGGCCATGGTTGCCCTAACCAGGTACATTAAGGTTTCACCTCCATTGTCCTCTGTATTCGTATAAGAAAAAACGGCTTTTGTTAATGCACAAATTTATATGAACATTCGCTTTTATATATATCAGAGTTCTGGAGTGAAGATAAGTGGGGTGACGTACAAGAGGATAAGGGGAACATCAGCCACAAAAGTAGCAATGAATTTTATATGCAGTTCAAGTGATCCATGCACAGGAATCAAATTGCATGACATTAAGTTGACATATTTTAATACAGCTAATGCGACATCGTCTTGTACTAATGCACATGGGAGCAATGCAGGCTTCGTTATTCCTGCAAGTTGTTTCTAAGGTAGAACCAGGGGCGGAGCTTGAACCTTGGCATTAGTAAACTTTTAAAAGAGAAAACGGCAATTGCTCCTCTCCTCTAACACATAGCTCCGCCCTGAGAATTCTTTAATTAGTTGCGTAAATATATGTAAATACACTTGTTTATTCTGGGAACAATAAATGGTGGAAATGTAATTTTAAAAACTCTTATGGTTTTACTATAAAATTGTTGGGCAAAATAAAGAATATTCTAATAGTGATATGACATTTTCTCGTACTTAATTAATTTAATTATATTCTTTCAAACATCGACTCTCTTGTAATGTTGAAAATTTTTATTTCATTAATTGATTCATACTTTATATATAGTATATCATTTTCTTTCACATTATAGTGTTTCCTTACTTTAGATGCCAAAATTATATTTTCCTTAATTTGGATGCCAAAAAGTGTCGTACATTGATAAAGACAGTCTATGATAACAAAAATAACAAGAAAAACATAGTCATTTAACAGCATTCCATGAAAATTGACCACATAGAGGCTCGCTAAATCCTCGTCTAAAATGCTTAAACAAACAAGGAAGTGAAAAGTAAGGTCCAAATCTAATATCCATATAGTTCGAAACACCAAAATGCACTCTGCGTGACAGTTTACTTGATTTTCTTCTTAGGTCTCAACTGTAATGGCAAATAAACAACAGTCAGCTAGTCTGGTAAAGAGATAAACACAACTTAGTAGAAAACAAAATACATTCCCAGCATAAATTGCTCGAGTGATGAGAACAAAAATAATCAGACTAGTTGAATTCAATAAGAAAATAACCTGATTGCTATGACCGCACTTCTTCTTCCGGCAATTTACAGCCCTTGGATGCAGACGAGCATAGCACCTACAAACCCATAATGAAACAGATAAGTAAATAATTAACTATATGCTACAGTTCAATGTTCCTGCATAGCCACAACATAAGCACACAAGTTACTTAGAGCATATTTCTGTAAGCTTCACTCACTCGTTAAAACATAATCAACAGAACAAGAATATGGAAAATTGAGAACCCCAGTGAGGAAATGGATGTTAAATATTGAAAAATGCATGAAGGGAGTGAAGAAATGCACTCACTTCAAAAAGAGTAAGAATATTCACACTCTTTTAACTTACATAAATGACACAGTATAAAACTCACTAAGCAAGTAAAAATGGTTAAGGTTAGAAAGTGATCATATTGCCATCTCATGACATACAAACTGAAGATATGGTTCAGTCTCGAAGTCTCATTACATATTAATTTGTTACTTCAGCAACATCACAATTACTCAATCATTTAGCTTATCTAATGGAAGAAAAGTAATTCAAAACTAAATCCATCAGTAAAATATTGCATTCAGAAAACAGACGTGTTATAATGTACCAGCCATGAAAATCAACTGAATATAAACAATCCCAGCTGACAAAGTTAAAGAATGGAAATTGATATAGGGCACTCATATAACCTCTTGTGCATGTTTAAGCAAAGAAGCTATATAATTAAGTACCCAGAAATTCACACGGTCAAGAACAAGGTTCCAAATGTTGACACCACAAGCATTTAAGAAAATAAAAATGATACCTAAACACCAGTATACACATGTTTCAGAAACCCAATAAAAAGAAAACTTCCAATTCACGCAATACAACAAAGTATAAAAGAAACATACTTGCGGCAAATCATCTTATCTTGATTGTATTTGCGAGCCAATGCCATGAGAGAAGGTTCTATGATCCCTCCCCTAAGCCTCAAAACAAGATGAAGAGTCGATTCTGCAGAGGACCAAATAGAATCAATAAAAATATCTTTTGAACAAACATCAATTCTAATAAATTGATTGATTAGTTAGTTAAAAAGCAAAGAGACGGACCTTTCTGGATATTGTAATCCGCCAAGGTTCGGCCATCTTCAAGCTGCTTGCCAGCGAAGATCAGTCGCTGCTGGTCCGGTGGAATTCCTATTTCAACAATAAACCATCTCCAAATTAATGGAAAACGCAAAGAAAAGGAGTAAAACCGAATCCAAAAGTCCAAATATTATATCATAGTAAAAATGTTCATTTTCTGAGCAAACAAACAAGCAAAAGAAGATTTTGCAAGTTAGAAAGAAACATGTAAGCACCTTCCTTGTCCTGGATCTTGGCTTTGACATTGTCAATTGTGTCGCTGCTCTCTACCTCGAGAGTTATGGTCTTCCCCGTTAGGGTTTTCACAAATATCTGCATCTTTGCTGCTGCTCCTCTTCCAAACCAGGGCTTCATCTATGCATATCGTTAGCATTTTATAGTAGCTAGCTAGGGTTTCGAAGTCCCGGACCGTTTTCTGGGCCGATTAATGGCTTATTATTTGACGGAATCTGACTTAAAAGTCTGACTAAACTCCAACAATCACAGACCCGAAACCTTGATTTGGGCTTCGACCCAAAAAAAAGTTTAGGGCTGGGTTTGTCCCACTACAGTATACAATATAATTGCTGATTTTTTTTTAAAAAAAAAAAAAAAGTTATATAGAACTAAAGTTAAAAATATATACGTATATTATGAATTCAAGATATAAATGTTCTCAATTCATAATTATTTTTCTAATTAATTTTCAATCAAATTTTAAAAACTTATAATTTAATTGCTCAATATGCTAAAGCCAATTGTATGTCTCGTATTAAAATCTGAAGGCAAACAACATTCGAACTCATAAATTAATGTAAGTAAAGATTTAATTTAAAAAATACATATATAACTTTTAAAAAATTACGATTATTACGGATGAATTTTCATATTTCGAAAGCGTTCAACAACGCTTTATAATTAATAATATCAAATGTAGACTCTAAAAATATAAAATCAAAAATAACAATTGATTTAATTATTGGCTTTTCAATCCATAAGAGTACAAGTTTTTTTTTTTTTTTTTTTTTTTTTTTTTTTTTTTTTTTTTTTTTTTTTTTTTTTTTTATAAACAATTAACCGAATTGATCTACGGATGAATTCCATATTTCGAAAGCGGATTTCAACTAACGCTTTATTAATTTTAATAATATCAACATGTAGCTCTTAAAAAAGCTATAAAATTCAAAAAAATAACAATTGCTAATTATTGGCTTTTCAATCCATAAAGAGTACAAGTTTATTTTGTTTTCTTTTTTTTTTTTTTTTGTGTTTTTTTTTTTTTTTTTTTTTGCTTTTCAGAGAAAAAGAATGCCGTCTCTTTATTTAGGTAGTAGGAACCAACTTTCTTTAGTGTCCAATTGGCCATCTCTCTCTTTATTTTTTTTTTTTTTTTTTTTTTTTTTTTTTTTTTTTTTTTTGGTTTTAAACCTTTTTTTTTTCTATTCATTAACATATTCAAAATAACATTGTAAATTATATAATAAAAGTAGTCATCCCCTAACTCACCAGATTGAACTTTAAAAATTTTCTAAAAAAGAAAATGATTTTCAAATTTGATAGATAAACATGTCAAATTTAATGATCCAAAATTCCAAATTTACTAGGATCAAAATTATTAATACCTATATATAAAAAATAAAAAAATGATGACTCTACTAGTTTGTATATGGCCTGCCATTGGAGGTAAAGGCAGATTTGTCCAAGAATTATTCACTCGGATCATATTAAAAAGGCTTGATTTACATTTGAGAACATCATACCTTAAAATCTAATCATTCAAGTTGGAAAATAATTTGCTGAAAAATATTTTTCATGGAAAATATTTTTGCTGAAAAATATTTTTCATGGAAAATATTTTCCTTGAAAAATATTTTTCAAATGACTTATTTTCCGTTATTTGGTTGTAATATTGAAAATTAGTTAAAAACGTTAAAGTATTTATCTCATAAGACCATAAAAAATATTAATAATAATATAAATTTTATAATTTAAAATTTTTGTTAAATATGAGAAAAATGTAAATTATGAAAGTCACTAGTGGCCGGTGGTGGTGGTCGGTGGTAAACGGTTGCTGGTGGTAATGACTATGATGATTAATAAATTAAAAAAATATGGATTTATAAGATTTGTCAATGTCCGTAAAATGTTTTACTCTCTCGAAAATAAGAAGTTATTTTCCTTAAAAAATAATTTAATTTTCCTTTGACCAGGAAAATATTTTCCATTGACTTATTTAGGAAAATTCATTGTCCATTGACTTATTTTCCTCAATATCCTAAGAAAAATGTTTTACTCTCTCGAAAATAAGAAGTTATTTTCCTTAAAAAATAATTTAATTTTCCTTTGACCAGGAAAATATTTTCCATTGACTTATTTTCCTCAATATCCTAAACAATGGAAAATTGTGAAAAATATTTTCTTGCAAATTATTTTATAAAAACAAACAGAGCGTTAATCCATATAATTTTTTACCTCATGTTAATATCATTAAGTCTAAATGATAATCAACAAGTTCGCAAGTCTTGAATATGCAATCCTTCAAATTCGACAAATTTGTTAATCTTCAAGTCAAATGCAATATTGGCTTCTATTAGTGAAAGAAGTGATATTAAAACCGAATAATTAAATTTCTCTTTCTGAAACTTCTAACTCCATAGTTAGAATTGAATATCCGTACCGAAAATCGAACATTCTAATTTGATATTCTTTCATGGAGAAAGACAGGGTGTAATTTTTTTTATTTATCCTAATGGATTAGGTAACGGAGACTCAACATATTCCACTCTTAATCTATATATATGTTGCTCTAAAAAATTCATTATATATAAAATCAACTGATTTAAACATGAAAATGGTTGCTCCTATCCTATTTTGGTTATTTGTAATGCAAGTCATAGGCGCCGCCGAAGGCCGTCAAGAAAAAATCTCGGCCAACATCCATCAATTCTATAATTGTATTTTAAGCAATTGATTTTAACTTTCTCTTTCTGGTGGTTATCTTTAAGGAATTTGCTGCAGAACGAACTTCATGAACAGTTATCATATTTAATAAAGAAGATACAATGTAATACAAGAAAACGTACATGCATGAATTTAGCAGCTACAATGCAATTGAGCTAATGAAGTCTCCTCCTTCAAATGTCAAATTGACTTTGCTTAAGCACATGGCTTCGTTTGGTCAATTATCCTGTTTCAACCACAAAACCGTTGAAAGGTCCCTTCCCCCAACCCAAATAACACTTAGTGTTACTTCAACAGGAAGCCAAGGTTTTTTAAAATTTGCATTACAAGGCATACATTAGATTAGATTGCCTTCCTTAATTGCGCTTTTGATATATATCAAAGGATAAGAATTGCGCATGAAGTGGTCTCATATAGCAAGTCAATCCGTTAAGAATTATAAAATTTTTTCCTGGTGCATAAATACTTTCGTATAATCAAATTTTAATTTTTGACTAATTTGACATATGGTAAATCCATATTCGAAGTAGGTAATTTACATTAAATATATTATTTATTTATGGCACCCTAAAAATATTTTCAATAAAAAATTATTGAGAAAATACATTTAATTACACTACATTATATTTTATTACGTTTATTCTCGAATACTCGTATGCTCACACTTTTTAATAGGGGATTGAATAGAGCTCCAAACCCTAAGTAAAAATTTATACTATTCTTCTTCTCCATAGTCGAATGTATTGCAAGCACATGCAGAGTCTTTCTTATAAAGCAAATAGGAAAACAAGTCAACCAAATAAAAATATCATTCAACTAATTAAATATTTAATAACCATCTCTTGACTTCCTCTCAAACAAGCATGGAGTTGGATATAAAAAAAGACTTTTTTATACTTGATACATGAATTCACGTAATATGCCAAGTCTATAATAAATATATCTATATAATGAATAAAATCAGAGAAGTGTATCTTAAATGACAGTAAGTATAAATCTCTCAAATTTGCCAAGACAAGTGTAAAGAGAACAATTATTTAATATAATTGTAAGAAGATCAGTTGTAATTACAGCAATTGTAAAAAGATAAATTGTTTTATGTTTTCAGATAATGCCATGTAGGAAGAGAAAAGAAAAGAAAACTAACCTAATATTAATAAGCAAAAAGTATTTTGTTTGGAAATAAGAAAGGAATATAAAGAAAAAGAATTCCGATAATTTTCTTTTCAAATGAGAAGGAAAATAAAAAACTATAAAATAAATTTATAGAAAAAATTTAATTTAATTTTTCTTTGATATCAAAAAAATAAAACAAGTAACATAAATTTTTTCTGAAAAAAGCATTTAGTTTTTTTTTAAATTTTATTAGCCATAAAATATTATTAAATGATATTAATAATTTTCATTAATTATGGAAAAAAAAAAAGAAACAAGAAATTTTTTTATGAAAAAATATTAATAATGTTACAAATTTTGTTAAATGATTGAAAATACTTTCTCCCTCCATAAATATAAATTGTTTAAAATTGTTACACATGATTAATTAATTTTATTAAATTTTCTTTCATTTCATATCATTACTCCAAGCTTACAATATTTAATATAAATATGAGTAAAATTGAAGAATACTTCCTTTACTAATTACTCATATATATTCTCAAACAATGTACATTTGTTCTCCAAAAATCATTTTAAAATGATTTTATATGTCTAGAGAGATAATTGAGAGGTAGCTGATTTTGGTTTTTAGCTAATCCAATTAAATTTATTTTTTAAAAAATCAAATTAGATAAGTCAATTAGATGTGATTCAATTATTCAATTGAAATCATAGTCTATGAAATCATTCATTGATAATTGAGAGTTAGTTGATTTTGTTGTTCAATGGGATCTTAGCAACTGGAGGATAGAGCTTTCATATGCTTGATTTTCTATCATACGAGGGAGATTGTGATGAGAAGTTAGCTTCTTTTTTTTTTTTATCTTCTCATAATAATTTATATTTATATAATATATAAAAGTAGAGTAGTTTATCTTAAATGAAAATCAAGTGTTTCAAAATTAAGTTGTTAGACTAATTTTTGAAAAAAAAAAAAAGCACTTCATTTTTCTTGGTAATAAAAAATATATTGCTTGATTAGCTTGGTATATGGAATTATAGAATGATAAACGTTAGAATTCTAAATTAAGTTGTCGGACTGATTTTTTCAAAAAAATGCAAAACTAAATTAAAAAAGACACTTCATTTCTTCTTGAAAATAAAAAGAACCTTAGTTGATTAGTTTGGTATATGGAGTAATCTCATATACCAGAAGCTATGTTACACGGACGCGAGAAACGAGATATGGGAATGTAAGTATAATACGGAGAGTAGTCTGCCTTATATGGAAGCTAAGTATCAATAGCACAATTTGCAATTTGACAGTATTTTGGATTATAGAATGACAAATGTTAGATTTCTAAATTCATAATTCTAAATTAATTTGTTGGACTGATTTAAAAAAAATACACAAAAAAAATTAAAAAAATAATTCATTTTTTCTTGGTAATAAAAAAAAATAAAAAAAAAAACCTTAGTTGATTGACTTGGTGTATAAGGTTATAGAATCACAAATGTTATAATTATAAATTCAGAATTCTAAATTAAGTTGTTGGACTATTTTTTTAAAGAAAATACATAAAAACAAATTAAAAAAAACACTTCATTTTTTATTGGTAATAAAAAAAAAAATCTAGGTTGACTAGCTTAGCGTAAGGAATAGTCTCCTAGCTTACATCATATGCTGTAAGCTAGGTTGCACGTACACGGAGCACGAGATACAGAATCATACAGAATATGACAATTTTTAAAAAAAGTAGGATATTTATATGTTTAGCACACGCTATAATAAATAAGTGTTATACATTAGTATTTAGAATAAATAAACAGTCATTTATAATAGATCATAAACATAAAATAAAACATACATAATTTCTTACTTTAATATAATTAGTTAAATTCTTAATGAACTTATTAATATACAGCCTAGAGCTAACCTCCTCCAATTTCAATTTATTTATCGTAGTTTTCATTAAAATCTCTATTTGATGGCAAATAATTCTAGAGTATGGGAAAGATGAATGACTTATCAAAACTATCAAAAAATGTTTTTAATTGTAACAAGAGTATTTATGATCATTCATTAATAAAAAAACATATAAAAATAAATTTAAAAATACTTTAATTTTTCTTGATAATAAAAAAATATTGATTGATTAGCTTGGTGTATGAAGTAATCTCATGTACTAGGAGCTAGGTTGTACAGACACAAGACACAAGATATAATCATTTTTAAAAAAGTAGGACATCCACATGCTTAGAACACATTACACTAAATAAGTATAATATGTTAATATTTCAAATAAATAAATAATCATTTCGTAGTTTTCATTAAAACTTCTATTTGATGGCAAAATAATTTCTAGAGTATGGGAAAGATGAATGACTTTATTCAAAACCTATTCAAAAAATGTTTTTCAATTGTAACAAGAGTATTATGTATGATCATTTCATTAATTAAAAAAACACTATAAGAAATAAATTTAAACAATACTTTAATTTTTCTTGAGTAATAAAAAAATAATTATTGATTTAGCTTGGTAGTATGAAAAGTAAATCTCAAGCCTGTACTAGGAGCTAGGTTACAGACACAAGACACAAATCATAATTCATTTTTTAAAAAAGTAGGACATCCACATGCTCTACGAACCACATTTACACTAAATAAGACTATAATATGTATAATATTTCAAATAAATAATAATCATTTATAATAAATCATAAATATAATAGAACACATTACACTAAATAAGTATAATATGTTAATATTTCAAATAAATAAATAATCATTTATAATAAATCATAAATATAAAATAAAAAAATTTTAATTTATTATTTCTGTATAATTAATTAACTTCTCAAAATTATTAACACTATTAAAAAATACATTAATAGTATGTATTTTTTTATGCAGGTCATATCATGCATGACTTTTGTTATTGCAGGATGCTTAAAAAGGTACATCTTAACATTGTAACTTTTTCAGCATATTTTAATGAGATATAATTTATAGTGCATTTTATAATCATTTTATTATACAATTTTATTATTTTTAAATGATATTATAGAAGATTATTTTATCCTTTAATATTTTTCGTGCATTGCGCGGATTCTAACGCTAGTTTTACAGAAATAAGAGTATAGTAACATCTTTTCACTGAAAAAATAATAAACTGCGATAATTTTTTAAAACGGCAACTAATTTTTGTTTGACAAACTAATTATGTTTTGGTGATTGGATGAACACATACATTATGAGACAATAAGACATGATAACAATAAGACAGAATAACATATATACGATCGTTCTTGAAAAACTAAATATGACACACCAACCACTTAAAACGATAAAAAGAAAAAAGAAATCCATCCATAAAATGACTTTAATGAAATATTTTACATCAATGTCAATCTATCAAAATTAAAAGCAATTTGTCAACAAAATTATTAATTAATTAAACGTAATACCTAAAATTATTGTATAGAGTGAAATTTCTCGGTTTGCATTCTTTTGATTATAAAAATTATTATCAATTTAGGAAATCTTAATCCATAATATTTTTTTACCAATTACATATCCTCGTATCAAAGAACTATCCATACATTGCATATATAGTTTTAAATTATTTAACTTCCAGTTATGTTTATTTTTATGATTTTGTTTTACCTTCATTAACTTTCTTTTCCATTCTTATAACATTTTTTTTAAAAGATTTTTTAAAAAGTTTAATTTTATTTTAGCGTTTGTAACTGCCTCTTTGAATAAATGTATTTTCCACTATTGAATCCTGATGTTTTAGAAATCTTATCTTGAATTCAAATGTATTTTATCATGAGTCGAACTGCTATTTTGGGGTTTAGGATTAAAAAAAAAAAAAAAAAAAAAGAATAAAAAAAAAAAAAAAAAGAATGAAGGAATAATACTTTCAATTCACTTTCTTTATCATTTTGAATTGATATGGAAAAACAGCTTCTAAAAAAAAAAAAAAAAAAAAAAAGAATGAAGGAATAATACTCAATTCACTTTCTTATCATTTGAATGATTGGAACAGCTTTAAACTAGGCTACATTTGCGGCTGCAACTCCTCCGGGTTTCCTCCACGTGTCACGTGGCAAAGGGGGAAATTAAATAACGAGTTTCACACATGCTACAATATATCTCATCCCGTACTTGACCCAGCCTTAGCATTTACACAAGCTTTGATGGAAATTTGCCTAGCTTATTTTATATTTTTTTAGGGGAATTCTTTGGAATTAATTATAATGTGCCAATATGAAAGGAATCCATGGCTTAGGTCATGCAATATGAAATTTGCCACCGCTTACAGAATTGATCATCATGACTTAAGTCATAAATTCGATTTCCTGTAATATAAATTCTCTCGGCTAGTTCCTTTGCTTAGCGAAAATTAATCAGATTTATGAACCATTAAAATGGATACAAACTTGAATATTTAGTACAAGTATCAAAATATATACATGTATATATGTATGTGTGTGTGAAAGGAATCCAACCAATAATCTAAAAAAAAAAATGGCTAGATATATAAATTTAAGTTTAATCATTTGTGAAAGTGATTATTGTTAACAATTTTTTTTAAATATAATTACTAATAATAATATCAAGTATTATGAATGTTCATTTTAATCAGACATAGAATTTTGCTATCAGTAGTTAATAGAGTTTGATAATCTTTTAATAAACTAAAAAAATTATTTTTATTTTTTTGAATAATAGAACTGAAAATAAAAGATATAATATTATATCTTTCCGTTTGAAGATGATTTTGACAAAAGATATAAAACTCCAACTAGTCATTTAATTGATTTGAATGACAAAATAATAAAATCTCTAAATCTTCTATACCTCGATTGTTTTTCCAGTTGCAACATATTATGTAAATAAATGAGTTCTTGACATATGAATTTATTAAAAGTGAATAAAAGATTAGAGACAAAAGCAAGAGTTGAAAATAAGAGCTACCGTTGATCAACAGTAGCAATCCAAACTAAAATCAGGATCAAACGACTAGAGAGAAAAGAGAAAGGCTCTATTTTGATAAAAATAGTTAGTTTGCCAATGCTTATTTTTTGATAAACTTTCAATAATGATATATAATGTGAATATATATTTTTTTATTATAACATTTTAAATTGATAAAAATATTATTGTGTTTTTATATAATATTTTGTACTTATTTAATATAAACAAAATGATAATGTAAAAAAGTTATTTCAAAAAAAAAAATATTAGTAACTATTTAAAAGGTTAATATAATCTAAATATAATATAGGTGGATTATACACCAAGAATATGTAAGTCTTTTTTCCTATTTAGTAGTTATAAGAAAATGTTTCAAACTCAAGCCTTTATAATCAACGATTGATTTAAAGTTTGTTTGGTTTAGTCGTTCATTTTAGTAGATAGCTGATAGCTAGTGGCTGGTGGCTAATAGCGGTTGATAAAATCTTAATAGTGGTTGTTATTATAATGTAAAATTTAAATCCTAGCAGTTGATACGAAAAAATTGCAAAATATAGTTGATGAAATCGATAACTATTTGAGATTTCTATTAATTATGAGTTGTTGCTGATTAAAAGGCTTGCCAAATATTTATAAACTAGTTATTAGGTAGTGTGAATCAACTAACAATAGTTGCATGAATCAATTGAACAAAATGAAGGAAGACACGGAGCATGGAACAATTTCCCGTAAATTATATATGTTACCTTTGTATTTTTCTTTAAAATATTGATCTATAGTTGCATTTTTTTAATATTAAACAATATATTCTCAAATTCAATAATTATTTAATTTTGTTATTTTAAAAGAAATATATTAAACAACTTCATTTTTAATCAAGTTAACTGTGAAGACTTCTAACTTATAAACGTAAATCAAATCCAAGTTAAGCATATGTTAGCTTCTTAACAAAAAGTTCCAAATTAAAAAAAATTAATTCTTCTTCTTATCATTATGATATTTACAATTGAAAACAGTTTAATATAATTCCTGAACAGCTTATCACATGTTTACGTCCATTTTTTCCATGGATTCACAACTTATCACATGTCACCGTACATATCTCATATGCAAGTACCCGAAGACGTGCGAATAAAAAAAACCTGCTTGACTAATTAATCTTTAATTAATTAATATTAATTAATTAAACCAATCTGACAAATATTCATGCACAATTCCCACTGTATAAATAAAACCCTAATTAACTGCCATTTTTGTATCATCCAACTGCTCTACTTTACTTATTATCAAAATGGCTTATAAGCTTCCTAATATTATTTCTTTTCTACTTTCCTTCTTCTTCATCTTCAACATATCAAACGCAGCGTTTAATGTAATTACTTTCGGAGCCAAACCAGATGGAAAAACAGACGCAACAAAAGCATTTCTAAATGCATGGGCAGCTGCTTGTAATTCTGCTTCTGCGTCAATAATTTATGTCCCTAAAGGAAGATATTTGATAAAAGCAATAGTTTTTAGAGGTCCATGCAAGAATAGAATTACGGTTAAGATCGATGGAACCATTGTTGCTCCTGTGGATTATCGAGCTCTTGGCAATTCTGGATACTGGATTTTGTTTATTAAGGTTAATAGAGTTTCTGTTGTTGGTGGCACTCTTGATGCTAAGGGTGCTGGCTTCTGGAATTGCAGAAGAACGGGAAAGAATTGCCCAGTTGGAGCTAGGGTAAAAAACAAAAATTCTGTTTCTTGATTACTATAATCAATTTAATTATAAAATTGTTCAATTTTTTGTAATACAAGTTCTTAAAAATGCAGTCCATAACATTCAACTGGGCGAACGACATCATAATCAGTGGCTTGACATCTATCAACAGTCAATTAACTCACCTAGTAATCAACAGTTGTAATAATGTTCAAGTTCGAAATGTGAGGCTTATAGCTCCAGATCAAAGCCCCAACACAGATGGCATCCACGTCCAGGGAGCAACCGGAGTGACAATCACCGGCGGCATGCTGCAGACCGGAGATGACTGCATATCAATCGGTCCAGGCACCAGAAACTTGCATATGAGCAAGATTAGTTGTGGCCCCGGCCATGGCGTCAGGTAAAGTATCATTCTTTCTTCTTTCTCACTTTTTTTATTTTTAATTTTAATTTTCCCACTAGTATCTATTAGCCTTTGAGTACGAGAGTAACTTCGTTCCGGTAATTTCATTTCAGGATCTAATAGTGACTGTCGTGATTATAAATGATAGTTTTATAATGTGTTTAATTTAATTAAAATATAGTCATAAAAAATAACAAATAAGTGTAATTACAGAAAATGAAAAATAACAAATATATTTGCTTCAAAATATTTGGGCCCGATTTGAGTTCATTGGACACTTTTCTTGCTTCTTTTGGATCTGGACCCATAGTTCATTATTTTATTAATAGCCCAATCTACCCAAACAAATTACATTAAGGGCTTAGTTTAGTAGTTATAGGTGAATTGGAAGTTGGAGTTAGGTATAGGCATATTTTTCTTTTTTCTTTTTCTTTCTTTTTTTTTTTTGATACATGGGAGGCCCAATAGACCGAAATAATTTTGTGGGCTACACAACAGGAGTAATCCTCCTCTTTAAATAACATTCATCAAATTAGTGATAATTTTTATAGTGAAAAGGACTTGAATTCGAGTTCTCTCACTCCCTACATCTTCTACAAGAGGTAAAAAGATCAATCAAACCTCCCTTTTAAATAACTGATTCTCCACCAAAAATTTCTTTATGATTAAGTATTCTAATTTTGAAGCAATTCTACTATTAGGGCTTATTTCATAATATTAACCATTGAAGTAGCTGTCAGTTGTTCTATTAACCGATAGCTGTTAGCTTTTAGTTGGTAGCTTATTATATAGCGATTTAAAATAAAATGATTTAGTAAAAATAGCTCTTTAAAATGCTAAACACTAGTTTAAAAGTTACTGCCCAACATGCCTAAAATTTATTGTGTTTGTGCATTTTCCACAGCATTGGAAGTCTAGGCAGGCAATTCAATGAAGATGGAGTACAAAACATAACCTTAACAGATTCAACTTTCACTGGATCAGATAATGGAGTGAGGATCAAATCATGGGCCAGGCCCAGCACTAGCTTTGTAAGGAATATTCTCTTCCAAAATATCATCATGAGAAATGTTGAGAATCCTATAATTATTGACCAAGATTACTGCCCTGACAATATTGGTTGTCCTGGCCAGGTAACTAACTAACTAACTAATTAACCATCATTTTTCATTAATTAAGTTAATTAAAAGGACAAATTACTTATCTAACCATTGAAATTTGACATGAAAATACACATTTCTAATTTTGAAATTGACAGAGTTCTGGTGTGAAGATTAGTGGAGTGACATACAAGAATATAAAAGGAACATCAGCTACAAGACAGGCAGTGATCTTTGAGTGTAGTAGAACCAATCCATGCAAGGGAATCAAATTGCATGACATAAATCTTACTTACATGAACAAAGCAGCAATTTCTTCATGTAAGAACATTGATGGAACCAGTACTGGAGTACTCATGCCCGAGAGTTGTTTGTAACATAACGATAACTAGTTGGGATCGGCTATATATAATTTTTATTTTCATTTTGTTCATAATCAAGCCTGTACCGATATATGTAGTATTATTTTTTTTTTTTTAATTTCTGGGTATGCTTTCCATGTGGAAGTGACTTTTAATGTAATGTAGCACTCCATTTGTGGTAGTGTCTTTTAAACTTTAATGTATATGATATTTAGTAATGAATTGGTGCTAAATTTAATTATCCTTGATAATTTTTTTAATTAAATATATATGTGAATTTGTATAATTTAATTATAACTCTACATCTGGTCTGAACAAAATGTTATTTTGAATCGTTAACTATACTTAAAAAAATTTATATAAAAAAAAAATATCTAGAAGCTTGAAAAATGACAAGGTACCTAATCTCTACTTACAGTTACAGGTCTTTGAGGTTGTGCTATTTATTGGTCAACTGGATAACTCAAAAAAAAAAAAAAAAAAAAATTATTCCTTGATAATTTTTTTTAATTAATTATATGTCGAATTTTGTATAATTTAATTATAACTCTAACATCTGGCTCTGAACAAAATGTTATTTTGGAAATCGTTAACTAATACATTTAAAAATTTATATTAAAAAAAAAATATCGTAGAAAGACTTGACAAAAATGACAAGGTACCTAAATCTCTAACTTACGTTACAGGCTTTGAGGTTGTGCTATTTATTGGTCAAACTGGATAACTTCAAAAAAAAAAAAAAAAATACTAAATTAACAATAATAATATCCCTCCAAGTCTTGAAAAGCACGTAGGAGGATGGCAAAAAAAAAAAAAAAAAAAATACTAATAACAATAATAATCTTCCCTCCAAGTTTGAAAGCACGTGGGTGGCAATAGAAGTTTCCTTTGACCATCTTTCTTCTTAAAAACCAGCTTCATCATATTGGAAATGTGAAAAATTACAGATCTCATTACATATAGCAGTCCGTTTTCCATAGCTGATGGGTCGGTCAATTAGTTACGCAGCATCTAAAATAGGAAAGATGGGTGTTTAACAATATTTCTGTGATCGGAAAGTATTGTTTAATGACTATCATTAGTGATTAATGATTAGTGGTAGAGGGGAGGAATGGAAATATGAGAAGGTTTTAACTACTTATGATTAATAAATTAATAAATATGTTTTTTTTTTTAAATGAAATAAATGTGTATTTTGGTATAATAAATTTGTCCGGAAAATGTTCTCTTCTTTTCAGAATGGAGAGCCATTTTCTTTAAAAATGCTTAATTTTTCTTTGATTAGAAAAATATTTTTTATTGACTAATTTTTCTAAGTGCCCCAAACATTAGAAAATCTGAAGAATATTTCTAAGCAAATTATTTTTCGGGATAAACAAAGCCTAAATATGTAAATTTTATAGAAATCTAAGCAATAGTATATAGAATTTTTCTTAATATAACCTTATTTAAAGGAACTATTATATTATATTTGCTCTCAGTCAATAACAAATAAGTATCAAATTAAGTGAATTTAATATATATAAACCAACCAATTAATCAATAAACAAAATATATTTTTTATCAAAAAAAAAATGAACTAGAAAATTAATAAAAAATAATTCAATAAACCCCTAAATTAATATATATATATATATAGTAATTAATTATGAAACTAATTTTATGTCTGCTTAATTAGACTAATTTCATTTGGTTTGATTAATTGTTATGTATTTGACTTGTAGAGTGACAGTCAATAAATTTAGGCACCATTCAACAATAGGAAATTCTTTATTTTCACAAATACATTTGGGATTCACTCACCAAATGCTAAGGTGGCTCCACAAGTCACTATCCATTACCAACTTTAGTTATGTATCAACTCAACAAGTATTATATATTGGTAGTTAATTAATTAGTTACAACTTCTTAACCAAATGGAAAATATTATTTATCTCTAACACAGTCAATAATTAAGGATTTATGTTTATTTTTCTTTTTCGTTATTGATAAAAGCTAATACTATGGGAGGGACAGTCACGAACCCGGAAAAAAATTACTATCAATATTCAAAAATCATGTGAGAATATTCATGAAAAAATAAAAATATATATATGCATACATTTTACATTTATTTCAATTTACAGTTTATTTATGAATTACTTTGAAAAAACAAGATGTTATGTATGTTTCTCATTCAGATCATAAATTTTGACTGTATTTTAATACTTAACATCTCCAAGTTAAAATTGAGTGTATTTGATAGAATCTATTAGTTTGATTTAATGCTTGAATTTATTAAAAAAAATTTCTATATTTGTAACATATAATTAAAGAAATTAAGTCCTCTCATAATTTGGTGTTCCCACTTTCTACTTTTCGATTCTGATATTATAGAATTTGTTCTAATTATTTCTTCTAAACATGGTGTGCATCTACTTATTATAATTAGGCATTACGATTCAGTTGAGAAGAGGTGAACAGTAGATAAAAAAAAATCAACAAAATGAGGGCAATAAAGTCATTTCGTGTGACTATCGCATGTGCCAGCACATTAGGCTTTGCTGGCTCCCTTGTTTGGAGCCCAATCATCTTAGATACAAGTAATTTGTGCACTTCAGCTATCCTAATGGTAAGATCGGCAAGCCACGTAGGCAATAAACAGTAAATATAAAATTTTTCCTGGTTCATATACCTTATTATAAAAATTTTTACTTCAAAGATCAAAAGAAAAAATTTCAAAAAATTTAAACAACCAATTTACTAATTATCCCTTTTCTTATTTAAAAAAATGCACATATTTGTGAATTAGAGGATTTCTTTTTCGGGATTTCTAATAAATATTTTCATGCCCTTTATTTTCATTCATGTATTAATTTTCATTCATGTATTTTTTATATAAGAAAATTTTTATTTTAAGATCTTTTCACGAATTGAATATCTTAGCTTATCAATTATAAATTTTGATTTCAACAAAAATTTGAAGTTCGAGTGTTTTTACAAAAGAATATATGTATTGACTATTTGTTTAATATTTTATAATAATTTGTAAAGAGTGATATTTTTTTTTGGTAAACTGCTGGATACAAGATAATATAGCTCCAGTTACCAATATTTTATAATAATCTTTGATAAGATTCCTTTTTATATCTGTATCAAAAATTATTAATTTAGGCATGAACGATTCCTTAGTATCTTGTTCATTCGTGGGTATAGAATCAATGTGCGATGTTTGGCTATAATTTTGAATTCGTTACTATATGTTTGCTTAATTCGTAAAAAAGGTTTTTTTTATACGTTATCAAATAACAAAATTTCGATTGTGAGTGTTTTATAATAACTTTCTAATATTTTGTAAAAAGTAATTGCTTCTTTTACGTAAATATTGCAAAATAATAGCTTCAACTGTCAATATTTTATAATATACTCTAACATTTTGTAAACAGTGGCTTTTTTTTTTTTAAAAGTTAATGGTTTATAAAATAATAATTTCGATTTTAAATATTTTGTAAAAAGGTGGCTGATTTTTGTAAAGGTTGCCAAATTACAAAATATTAACTTGGTTTATAAATATTTTGTAATATTCTCAAGTATCTTGTAAAAAAATGACTGTTTAATTTTGTAAAAGTTATGGATTACAAAATAATAGCTCTAGCTACCAATATTTTATTAAAGATACCTTCTTTTTTTTTTTTTTTTTTTTAAAATGAACTGTATAATTTTGTAAAAGTTATGGATTACAAAATAATAAGCTCTGACATACCAAAATATTTTACTTTAAACGATACCTTTCTTTTTTTTTATTTTTTTATTTAAAGTTTTTTTTTTTTTTTTTTTTAAGAACGTTGTCTATGAAATAATAAGTCATATTATCAATATTTTATAATTTTTTAAATATTTTTTAAATTTAATTTTTTTTAAAGTTAAAATTCATAAAATAATAAGTCTGGTAGCTAAGATTTTATAAAATTTTACAATATTGTGTAAAAATTAGTTATTTTTTATAAATTTAAGTAACAATAAGTCAATTTTTGTTTAATTTATTACTTTAAGTCATGATAGGAATCACCGTAAATTTTAGTATAGTTACACTGACTTTTTAAGGCAACTAAAATTGGTAAAAATTAATAGTTTAAAAAGGAAAATTTTGATTGAAGGGAAGTTTGATTAAGGGACTTTGGCCGTATTTGACAGTAGCTTTATAAGTAGTTTTTAGTATTTTGACTAAATGCTATTTTTTATAGTATTCGGTAATATAGCGTTTGAATTAATTTTTAGAAATTAAGGTAGCATTTTATAAAAGTAATATAGCGTTTGAATTAATTTTTAGAAATTAAGGTAGCATTTTATAAAAAATTAACTCATGTAACGTTTAACTTTTAATATTTTATAAAAAATTAATCAAACAGCTAATAGCTAAACGCTATTGAAACAATTAACAGCTATCAAAACATGTAATTTTGTTGAACAAACCCTTTTCATTTACATTTGTACCAATTCTCGTTAGTAATGTTTTTATTTAGCGTTTAATGTGTAAAAAAAGAAGAATATAACAAATTATCTGGCTTTAACTTGTCTAATTGTTAAACAAAAAGCATGCTTATATATTTTTTTCTATCTTGGATATGTTTTCCATTTCCATTTAATAAGGAAAATTAATTATGTGTAAACCCACATGTATTAGACGGATTTCTTGATTTATAAACACCCAAAATTTTCTTTTGATTGATTCCCTTCAAGCCAATGTGCATACGATATGATTTTATTTAAGCCTAAATAGGGTTTTTTTTTTTTTTTTTTTTTTTTTTTTTTTTCTAAATGGACTGTTTGGTCTAATGGTGCTACTAAGCTGATGGCGATTATCTGATAATTTAGTGGTTAGCGGATAATAAATACTTTTTTTTTTTTTTTTTTTTTTTAAATGGCCTGTTTGGTCTAATTGGTGCTACTAGCTGATGGCGATTATTGATATTTAGTGGTTAGCGACTAATAAATACAAATGGGTTGATAAAATTATTTATAATAATATTTGGTAATCTTTTTTCAAAAAAAAAAAATAATATTTGGTAATCTATATCTATATCTATATATCTATATAATCCTGAAATAAAAAATAATTTTAAAATGTTGAGTTGTCACCGTCTGGTTTTAGCATTCTCTTTTTCCTTTCATTACAAATTTTCTAATTTTTAAT